AGCATATTTAAAAAACATGAATTTACGTCAAATAATCACTGAATTCTGTGCAGAATTGAGTGAGAAATAGTTATTTTTTTGTTTTGTTTACTTTTGTGACAAAAAATGATGAATCATCAAGTGTGACAATACTTATGAAAAAGGCAGTAACGAACTTTTCCATTGATAAAGGGTCTTCAGCAGCACTGAACCTACTATTCGTCTTTCCTTATCTCTTTTTCATTCAAGAGTCCAATAATTACTATGAAATTTACAAAGACAAATGTGTACCAAAAAAATACATAAAGTTAAATCAAAGGAACGATTAATCAAGTCCCCTTTATCAAGCTCGGACTTACCAAAGGTCGACTGACTTTCAAGAAGAGAAAGAAGAAGAAGAAGCAAAGAAAGACAGAGAAGAAGAAAGAATGGAGTATTACTCCGGCCTACCATAAGCAATATACCTATATATAAGCTGAACTCTTTCAAGTTGCGACAGAACGGAACATTTACAGGCACCCGTTTATTTTAATTCCTTAATTAAATGTTAATGATAATTATACCTCATTTAGATGTAGGGTCTGGGAACGGTTTCGTTGATAGAAGATAGTGTACTGCGGTGTGTCGGTGTGTGTGAAGCGTGTAGCGGGATGTGTGGTGTTAGACACTCCTTCCGATTCTTGTTGTTCTAAACTCGGACATTTGGAACTTAAACTTTGATATTGGTGTGAGCGTGGAATACAGAAACGATTGTTTAATACAGTGGTTTTGACTTACTTTACAAAGCACAGGATAAGTAAATAACAGTGAAGGAAGTGCAAATTATCAAACATACAAAATATACATTTATCCAACGGAATTCCCTTCCCTAGCAAGGTTCACTTTATATGGGAGTTAGACTATCAATGTATCATTGGCGTTTCTCGTCAGCTTTACAGTACAGTAGTACCTCAACAGTACCACATGGTATCCACCCGTTCACATAGAACGTAAGCGCCGAGCACTTCCGAAGCACGCATCTCTCCCTCCGTCAATATTCATAGCTCGTCGCAGAGTCTATCCAATTTCTACGGCATCAAACTAGGTCTCGTGAGCCCCGCAGCACACTACTGAAATACACAAATACACGACGAAGAGGAACCGAAAGGAAGGATTAAGAGCACGAGTAAGAGGAAGACCGAGAGCTTCAACGTTACGCCAGAAACGAACGGCTTCCAGAACTCGTAAGCACTAAGCGGCTGGAGCATATACTGTATATTTGGAGATATTATATATGTGTGTTAATAGCTCGTTGCAGAGTCTATCCAATTTGTACGGCATGAAACCGAGGTCAGTGGTCCCGTGAGCCCCGCGGCAGGTTTCTCTAATACATAAATACTTAACGAAGAGAAAGAAGAAGTAAGAGCACAAGCAAGAGGAAGAGCAGAGAACGAGACCTTTAACGTTACAGCACAGAAACTAATTGCCTCCAGGCTTGTAAGCCTTTCCGTCAACGAGTACGAAGTCAAAGAACGAGTGAGCCTCCACGAGGTGTAAGTCTATTAACATACATACAGAAGACGGTTTACTGAACTGGATAATGTAATCACCCGTTCTAATGAGTCTGCAATCTCGTCGGAGACAATTTTTGTTTGAATAAGTTTGAATAGGACTAAGCTAACGTGCATATGGCCTCGCGTGGTAATACCAATAACGGATGCTTTGTTGTTGTACGTTGTTTACATCACCTCGGATATCCGTTAGCTTGTAAGCGCGGGAGGTGAAGATAGGAATAAGTCAAGTAGGGTCTCTCTCTCCGAGAATGCCTACTACATACATACATAGTCAGCTCCAAGACGCTTTTATGTGGGAGGCAAAGTACCTAACGGGGTAAGAAGGAAGCGAGAGAGCTGAGTATTGAAAGATGCCGGGACCAAGGTGAGAACGACTCTCGAGTGAGTAGATGCCAGATACCATGAGGCGAGAAGGTACGTTGTATGCGCACAGTACAGTCAGATCGGCAATGCAGCGTGTTGATTGCGCCGAACATAAAGCATGAAGTGAATCGAATTGAATACCGAGGGATTGCGTTTGTGTATGTATGCAAGTTTATTTGCGTTCCAGGTACATACACACCGCAAGAAGGTGGAAAAGAGAAGAGAAGAGGGAGGGAAAGAGAAAAACGTGCTTAGAGAAAGCATCCGGGCGGAGAAGGTCAGGGACGATAGCAAGTAGACGAGTAGACGAGGGTGCTGACGCTGCAGTGCGCGTCACAGGGTGGGTTCGGTCGGCAGTCCAGATTTTCATGCGCAACCCCGGAGAACCATGCGCATGCGATAGGTACTTAGTTGTAGCACATAGAGCCACAGAGCTTCGCGATGATTTACCCAGTGTGATCGCGCATTCTAGGAAGCACAGGCGGCGTTTCTGCGACTTGGCTAGACTGACAGAGGGATGAGGATGTGTCCCTGTTATCCTCGGTGGAGTGGAAGGGCGAGAAAGATGCACTGTATACTACCGGAGCGACTTCGCGAAGTAAATACGGAGAACATGAAGGAGAGAGAAAGAATAAGGCAACTTGGGCATCGCGAGCCTTATGGGTGCAAGAGACACATGCCAGTATCTAAGAATGATCGGCATGAAGGGCAGCGGAGCAGATGGAGATGCATTATCCCACAGAGCTTAGACGGCAGCGCGACAGGAACCGACCGACAAAGCGCCATAGACGCCGTACCGGTTCTTCACGTCGCTCGGGCTGGACTGTGCATTGCTTTTAAGTACGCCGCAAGCCCGCAGAGACCGAGGCCTGTGTGAGCGCAGAGCCATCAGTTGTACTGAAGAGGGAAAAAAGAGGAGGGGAGGGAGATCCTGCTGTTCGGCGGGTGCCTCGCGCCGTTGCTTATTTTCACACTGTGTCTGAGTGTATCAGAGGGCAACAAGCTATCGGGGAGAAATATCGGAGGAAAGGAGAAACTTCTGAGCAGCCGAAAACCGCAGGAGGACTTCTCACTTCTCGCGAGAGAAAGAGTCGTATGTCCAGAAAGGGTAAGCGCTCCCACGCGCATGACGCGGCCTATTCTCGCAACACTCAAAACACAATTCACGCTTCAAAGTAACGTCCTATCCTCCTGCTCCCACCTCCTCTCTTCTGTCTCGCCTATCTGCGTCCACAATCACATCTTGAGTGGTCGCATCTGCCACTGACACAAATCTCGTAGGCTAGACTCTAACTTCGGCTTGCTTTGCAAATTCCAATGCCCGGCGGGACCATGACTTCTACTGTACCCCAATCGCATAGCGACGGAAGACCTATGCAGAGGCACTTTGAGCCCTACGCCGACAGTGGAGGAACTATCCTAGCTATTGCAGGAGCAGACTTCTCTGTCATCGCAGGCGACACGCGTCAAACGGACTATTACAACATTCAGACTCGATACGCGCCAAAGGTCTTCCGTCTGTAAGTGCATATGCTCAGCGCGTCTCTTTGCGGCGCAAGAGCGTGATTTCTGGGTATCTCAATGGAACAATGCTAATCCTTGGAACTTCTATCCAGAACTGACAAAGCCGTCCTTGCTGTGAATGGCTTCGCGGCAGACGGGAACATGTTTATAAAGAAGGTTAAACAGCGGCTGGAGGTACGGACGCGTCATCCAGCAATATCAATCAGATGCTCACCTTCGCACTCGTCATCATTACGCGTATACTTCTACGTAGTGGTACCGCCACGCGCACGCGAAGGATATGCCTTTGCGCGCAGTCGCTCGCCTGATTCAGACAATGCTTTATGCTCAGCGCTTCTTCCCGTACTATGTGTACAACATCCTCGGTGGCATCGAAGAAGACGGTATGTTTATTTGTTCAATTCTCCGGTTATAGTGGTCTGCTCTTAGCACGCCACCTTATTCGGTCCTTCCGTTCATCCGCCTATTTTGCCGTTTTTACGGACTATTATTTGTTCATTTGGCTAACTGACCGATTGTTTTATTTCTATGCTTGGACTTTTGTCCGTCCTCTACCGACACTACACACTCCGTCGCTCCACTGTGTAACTGTGCCTCGGCATTCCGACACCTGACTGTGCTGTTGACGCGGTATACGTCACGGTTATCTCTTCACTTGACATACGAATCCCGCTACCTTGTCCACCTGCACGTACACGCGCGGAAAATCCGAACTTGATCTTACCTTCCTGGAATAACATATGACATACTGGCTTTTTTCGGCCTTCGCCCCGGTTCCGCTGTTGCTCCAACGTCCTGACTTCTTTATGTCTTAACCGTCGATCGTCTCTAAAGGCTCGGGAGCTGTATACTCTTTCGATCCTGTCGGTTCATATGAAAGAGAGGCTTGTCGCGCGGCCGGAGCTGCTCAGCAGCTTGTACAACCTTTCCTTGACAACCAGGTGCGAATATCTGCCTTGAATAATCTAGCCTCAATCCTGCATTTGCTCTTCCATTCATTTGGCTGTTATTTTTGGAAATGTGTTGCCATCGCAGCCTGTCATGTTTTTCCTTTTTCATTTAGTCTCGCACGGAGATCGTGTCCTTCGCCAAGCTCGAACTTCTCTTCATCAGTTCGCAGCCTCGCACGCTCTGATGTTATTTGTGATTTTACTCTCACCTCTTCGATGCCTTCCCTTTTGTTTACTATCTATCCTCACTCCACCTGCGACATGCGCAAATGTTTTTTGGAGCTCAGCACTCCTATTCATCATCTTCCATGCTAAACCTAGCTGACTCAAGGCCGGACTTTCTCCGAAGTGCTCTCTGTATCTCTATCTTTTTCTCCCCTTCTTTATCTTGTTCGCTTGGAAATCATTATCTGTATTGCTAACGAGTTAATTTGCTAGATTTACTTCAAGAACCAGCAACCTCCGCTCGGAACGGTTGGCGGGCATCCGACCCATCTTCCGCTTGAACGCGTCCTTTCGCTTGTTGTCGACAGCTTTACAAGCGCAACAGAGCGCCACATTGAGGTTCGTTCCGTTTTACTATTTGTTAACATCTGTGCATCACCCTACTTCTTTATTCCTTGTACCTCGTTCGTCATCAGTCTTCCCTGATGATCTCATTTCTCTCACTCTGATCTTTGTCTGTAATATTTGAGCTGACCGATATTCTTCCGTTATCTTCTGCATGCCCTATCTCGGTGTCCGCGTTCGTACCATTTTTGTCGCGGTTCACGGTCTGGCTCCCGCACTACTTTTGGACCTCTATCTCATCCGTGAACGTTCGACTCTCGACCTCGTCGGCGATTTCTGCTCCACCACGATGGTCTCGTCCTTCTCCCGTCGATTTTGTGCTTTGTGATCAATCGGGTATAATGGATTTGCTATTACTGATATCGGCACCTGTGTCCGATGTTGCGGTAATTCCATCCACTCTATATCTCCGCCCGTCTCGGCATTGGTATTGTCTTACAAACAATTGACTCGGCGTGGCACGGTGTATCACTCTTCCTATCTATCACATACATACTTGTGGGTTGGTGGATGAACCCATTTAGGTCGGAGATGGCCTTGAGATGTACGTCGTGCTGGCAAAAGGCCGGACGCCTCATGGTCTCGAAGGGTTGCGCTCCGCGCAAGTCCGCGAACTTGCGGGAACGACGGATGGTGAACGCGTGTTCGTTATTAACCAGGAGTTGAAGAAAGATTGATGAAAGCGATATAAATAGAAGTGGGCGTGGGACGTTGCCGTTGCGTTGTGAGGTTTTGTGTGGCTCCTGTTTGTGGGATTTTCGAGGAGATTTGATATGTGGGGGTGGGTGGATCGTATTGAGATCGACGCTGTCATTAGTTTGGTGGCCGATCTACGCGGATGCGGAGGGGTATGAAATCAAACGGCGGGTGGCCGACCAGACGGTTCTTCATACATGCAGATTCGATTCGATTCGATTCGATTCGGCTCAGCTTCGTTTTCGACTTGACTGACTCTTCCTCTATGTCATTTTTTCCCAACTGTCTGTCTGTTTCGCCTCCTCCCTCATGTCACATCGTTTGTCACCTCTGAGCGATACCCACCGGACTCTCCTCTCCATGATCACCTACACTAGCCAGCCAATGTAACTGCTACGTTCTCTCGCCTATGTACTAACTTAATTATTTCCCCTTCTCATTTTCTTGTTCCTTCCTTCTTTGTTCACGAATTTCTCCCCACCTCTGCTGCTCAATGAATTTTTTTGCACAAGATTTATTCTTTCCTTCGCTCACCCCTTAGCAGCCTGTTCAAGGTTGCAGGACTCTGTGTCTTCTAACTCTCCCTGTCTTGTCTGCCTTGTCTCTTGTCATGATAACTAGACTTGATCTCGTATTAAAACAAACGAATAAAGTAAATATTATTCAAGTGGTTGAAAATCGAGATAAAGCGATTGCATTGAGAGAATTGTTAATAAAAGAAAATAGGAATTTAGACTGACATAAGTAAGAGATTCGTTCTCACTGTAGCTGCGCATGTCATCATAGAGTCATAGAATGGAGGATAATATGTTCGCCACCTCGGCTTCAGTAAACTCGGCCAATAAAGACGTAACTAGTACTGAAATGAAGAACACCGAGCAGCAGCACATGCCCCATTCGTAATGTCATTAATGTTCTTGGTTCTTGACTTTCCTATTTCCTTTTTCTAATACCCAGTGTAGTCTTCCTTTCCAACACAGTGGAGCAACTAATAACATAAACATTACTCTTAAGTATATATGCATATTAACATCCTATACATATCCTTATAAGTACTGCTGCAGCACACACCATACGTCATAACATATCATATCTCATAATCTCATACTAATGGACTTCTTCACTGCGCAGCATGTGCATGTGCATGTACATGTATATCCTAATCTCCACATGTTGCAAATTGCACGCGCGGCGAGGGCTCTTTGCATGAACTTAAAACCATCATTAGCTGCACAGTAATCTTTTATTTTATATGAAAAGAAAAAAAAATCGGGAAACGAGAACGAGACGGAAAAAGAGAAAGAGCGGGAGAAAAGGAGTGGACGTCTGCGAGCAGGGTATAAAAGGTAAGAAGTCCAAATGGGACGTGAGGGCAGGAGAGAGGAGGAGGGGTGGGAAATCCCGAAAGAGGAGGTAAAAATATATATTCAATATGGATGATGCTAGCGTGCCAGACACAGATGAAGAATGCTCAACTTCGTTGATCGAAGGTTAAAAAGGGTTCAACTGTCCAAGAACGGATTTATAGGGAAGGTGAAGTGAGGAGGAGGGGTAACAAGAAGCAGTACTAGTGATGCATACGAAAGCAGCGGGGACAAAGGTGGGAACGGAATAGGATAGGGGAGGGAGGGAGGGGCTGACGTGTAAATGCCACATTTAACGATCATATGTCCAATTCTCCTTTTTCTCTAAAACTAAATTGCAACCAAGACAGCACCGGCAATCGCGCATAACAGCATGCTGGCACCCATCGCGTCACCGAGTCTCCCTCCGGCAACGGCTCCACCGGTCTGCGGCTCACTCCCACTTCTCCGGACCGCTCGCTTCCCGGTCGAGACGAACCCGTCCTGGCTTGTGAAGCCAGGCGTGACGTTACGCAGCATCTGCGTCGGCAGCATGTTTGGATCGGTCGACACTTGGAACTGCGGTGCGAGAGGTGATCCGTCAAATTGGAAGAGATGGAGCTTGAACCCGTCAACTGGGTCCTGGAATATACGCCAGGACTGGTAAAGTTCGGTCATGTTGTAGTTCTCGACAAAAGCGGATCGGGGCCCGCATGGATCTTGGATGAGTTGGTATCCGTCTCCGAAGGGAGTGAAAGTCATGGATCCGTTGTCTAGAAGTTGGTAGGTCCCGTGTGCCCAGTTCATGGCACTCTTGGGACAAGAGGGTTGTGTGCCGTTCGCAGTAAAGCGATATCTTGCGACCTCATAAAAGCCGTCATCAGTGCTAAATGAGAATATTAGTCAAGAGCCGCTAAGCGAGTTGCCTGAGATAAACTGACAAAGAATATGAGATGCCTGAGACGTCTGGCTGCACGAAGGAAGTGTTCGCAGGGTTGGCAAAGCCCTAGGAAACAATAAACATGAATACCCTTTCGCAATGAATAGACACAACGTGAACCACGTACAAGTCCGGTCAATACTTTCTTCGCGCCCGATGCCCAAGTGCCTCTGAGTCCCGTCTTGTTGTGTATTGAGTCTAGGCCGACAGTTTGACCAGCAGCAGGGAGCGACGTTGAAAGGAGCAGGGAAAGCAGCGAGACGACGTGCCACGGCTGCATTGTGAGAGCAATCCTAACGAAGTTGTCGATGCAGAACAGAGATGGATTGAGATGAAGGTAGATGAGGAAAAGGGATGAAGAAAGGAGGTTGCGGAGCGTGACGACGACAAGGTCGATGGAGTGTGGGAGGACGACAAATGTTTACGCTTGTTTACGCCATCCGCCACGGGCTGTCGCTTCCCACGCCAAAACATCCCGCTTTTGGACATAACAACCATTTCGTTTCACCACCTAATTGATTAGTCATACCATCTCGGTCTTGCCTCGCAACCGTCAGTGTCAGTTAGCATTGAAACATCTTTTGACTTGTCATTTTAAGGCAAACCCAGAGACACTTGCAGTAACAGACATCTCGTGCTTTGCAACCCCCTCTCACTCTGGGCTTTGGTTGCTCCTTTGTTACTCACGCGGCGTCTTGCCACCGAAGCGGAAGGAGACCGCCGTCAACTCGCAATTGACGTGTCTGAATCTCTGCTTTCTTCCCGCTTTTAACGTATTTGCCAACGGAAACAGAGCGTTGCAAGCCTACAGATCTCTCAATTCTAATCCTACGTGTGCGGCGAGTGTCTCGTGTCGGCACAGCTCTGAGCTCATGCTCAATACTTGCATTTCTCAGATCGGATAAAGTGCGCTGAAGCTGATTTGAAACTCACGGTGCATGTGAGGGAGCATGTCTCAAAAATAGACGTTTACGCGACCTATACTATCATGTGCCACTTTCCTTCATACCAGCCCCTTGTGAATCCTTCAATCAACCTGCAAGTCTGGTTCTGCATGCGAATCAAATGGACGTTGCCGACAGGTGTCTATACAGACTCCAAACTCCCGGAAAGCCAAGTCCTTCAAGTGATCTTCCTGTTGGCATAACGGAATAGGAGTCAGTATTTTGAAGTAGACGCGTATTTTCCTCGGTATGTAAGTCATGCTTTGCAAACCGCTGACCGGCCCTCTGTATCGGATTGCTCAACTGCGCCTTGGGTTGCGTCAAATAGCACATCATGTGTTACTCAAACTCTTTCTAACGATACGCTCCGTTACGCTTCCATGGTCTAGACTGGTGGAGTCAGTTTCAAACAATGCGTCTTATCAAAGCGATAACGAGCGATGATATTCCTTCTTGTTTGACTGAATTACTTTGGCTCCGAGGAAAATGCTCGATTTGCTATGCTTCTGGCGATATGGTCTTATTCAACCTGATCTTGGCGCCTTTGAATTAAACATAGAGCTTGCTTAATGGAGATGCATACACAGATATCACTTCATGTGCTTCTGGACTGGAACCGACTCCAGTTGATTCAGGTTCCATTTTCCACTCGACACCGCAGGGCATTTCTCCTTCACACTCTTCTCTACTTCTTGATAATCTAATTTTACCCCTTCCTTGTTTGTGAGTTCTTCTCATTTAGCAGACTTAAACGCCAAGAGGTCTCATCAAATAGCCGTACTTCAATTCTTTCGAACCAACTCGCGCGTTCTTCCCCTTGAGATACACCACACACTTCTCCCGAGTTTCTACTTCAGCTTCTCCGAGGCTTCTCCCTTTCCTTCCATGATACAGCTATCTGTGAAACTTATCGACTCAGTGAGGCACATAGAGTGGATATAGGATTGGTTGGTTGTTATCTCGATGTTGTTCTGAGTATCAAGATCGGAACTCGTACAAACTTAAACCTCGGAGAAACAAGTTTTCAGCCTGACTTCTCTGTCCCCCGATGTCAACGGGTATCTGATTTCGTTTTTCCTTCTCTTTTAACTGCGCACGGTATTTCGCCGTAATCAACAAGGCAAGAAGCCATCCATGCACATATCCAGACGCTTGGGGTGAGACTGGAGCTGGGACGCGTAGTTTGATTTACGGTCTCTCTCGTGCTCAAGTAGGAAATGCGGGGAGTGAGTGAACTCGGATTCACATGCGTACGTACGTGCATACTTGCATGCGCTCTGCGCGTGAGATAGCTCACAGGTAAAGCCACAGAAGACAGAAACCTATTCTGATGCCAGGAAATTTTGTTTCAGAATGTATTTCCAACCAATGAGGTGGAAGCTTTAGAGTTTTGTAATAAATTCTTAAGGTTACAGAATAGGAATCTGTCTCCTGTGAGTGTTGTAGGAATAGCTATGGTTTTAGTTGAGGGCTAAGAGGCTGAAATGGTGTAATACAGACTAAGAAGTCACTATGTGAACACTATTTTCTATTTCAACTTTTGCTAATTATGCTTCATGTATCAAAGAGATGACTTCGGCTGCCATCACAGTGGACATTGTAATATAAAATCGATACTAACCAGCCAGCAATACAAATTTGTCTGAGTCACGTGCAAAGTAGAAGTGGAGAATCAATCTCTTCCTCTGATGAATCAGTGATGACAACAACACAAAAGGGCTCATGATCAATTCTCTATTTACTTCTACCCATTTATTAGCAATTTGGAGGCCTGCTAAACGCCGGGGAACCATCGATAAGCTGAATGTTTGCCTTACTGTCCCTTCATGGCTTCTACCTCTACAGCTACCCACCTGGCCTTGACTAGTTCGTTCTTTATTTTCATTGTAACTGCATCGTATTGATGTGTTCAGCAGTCATCCGAGCTAATGGAGTAAAGTGGGACTCAATTCTCCGTGATAAATTGCCGAGTTTCTACGTTCAGGCGAAGGTCGGTGATGAGAGCAAGCGAACGAAGACAGTTAGCAAGAATCTGCTACCCGAATGGAACGAGTGTTTTTCATTCAAACGGTACGCGAACCTTGACAATAATTCTGATTTCGTTTAATGCTGTTCATGTATAGTCCATCTGCGGACCAAGGGACAAAATTGCGCATTCAGATCAAACACGATTCGTCGCGTTGGTTAGACAAATGCATTGGTGAAATTGACGTGGAGCTGAATGACTTATTAGAGAGGTGTACCAGCGGCAAGAGTGCGGGAGTTAGTTTTCACCAACAGTCCATATATTGACTGGACTTATAGAAACGGAGCTTCATCTTGAAATGCGTAATGGTTCATCATCGACGGAAACCACTGCAGTTCTTCATTTGCACTTGGAGACTGTGGACGCGACGACAGGCGTTGGCCTCAGCCTCGAGACTGCAAAGTGCGCGATTCAGCAGAGCAGCATCTCAAATTCAGCGACCGCCTTGGGCTCAACTGTTGCTGCTATGTCAGACAGTGCTGAAGTCCACGTTGCCAGACATACTGATTTGTATCAGTCTGTCGGCAATCTCGTTTCGAAATTGGACTTCCTTGTCAATGTTATTGACAAACTATCGCAAGTAAGCCTTATTTCGCATGAAACGCATTCACGAGTCTTAGATAGTGCTAGGTGCACCCGTACGTCAACTTTGCATGGCAAGTTGCCTCAACGTTGTATAAGGTGTGCTCGGAAGACTATCACTGGACGTTTCTGACCATTTTCTGAAGACCATCCGTCGTCAATTCGAGGTTGATAAGAACGTTGTTGAACTCGTGCATGTCATTGAAGATGCCTTCAATTTTGCTCGCGAGGCCGATTTCCTCCGTAACAAGATACAATATCTCGAGACAATAGTAATCCAGCTTCTGAAGCAGACCGACGAATGCTGTCTCTTTCTTCAGGAATATGCAAGACATATGTTCACAGGTGTGTCCGAGTTTAACGTGTCAGACAGAAATCTCATTCTACGCCAGGACGGATGCTCAAGACAGACATGGATGGAAAAATTGACAAGTTCAAGCAGTGCTTGCGGTTACTCAAGCAATCGATTGACTCGGGTGCTGTTATACATACCGCTTTCGTTTCACTGAGGATGTCCTCCAGAATCGACACTTTGTGTATGTTCTGCGGCTCTATCTACATCTCTGCATCCCATGAACCTTACTCATATCTATCAGATTTATCAAGTCGACTACAACCAGAAAAGATGGACGCGTTTAATCGGCCTCAATGCCTCCCCGGCACGCGAGTGGAGGTCATGCAACAGGTCGTAGAGTGGGTGTTGTCAGATTCGGACAAGAATGTCTTCTGGCTATACGGTGCCGCAGGATCCGGCAAGAGCACTATTAGTACGACTATCGCGGAACATTTCCGTGACATATCTCGTCTTGGAGCACATATGTTTTTTGAACACGGAAAGAGTGATCCCAGCTCTGTCATACGTACACTCGCTTACAAACTCGCGTTATTTGACTCTTCGGTGGCGAAACACGTTTTCGAGGCCATTGAGCGGGATGACGATATTGCTCAAGCCACGTCGGCGACCCAGTTTGAGAAGCTTCTTCGCAGTCCTCTTGCTTCATCTGGCGATGCTATGCAAGGACCGATCGTCATTGTCCTGGACGCACTGGATGAATGCGGCACCGAAAAAACGAGGCGTGGCATAATGGAGAGTTTCTGGAAAGGTCTACCGGGACTCCCAAAGAATTTTCGATTTCTCATTACGAGCAGGAAGGAGCCGGACATAGATCAAGCGTTATCTTCGCGACCCGACTGCATTCGGAGTGTCGAATTGGAGCACAGCTCGGAAAGCTGTAGAAATGACGTTCTTCGCTATCTTGACCATGCGATGCGTTATGTATTCGTGATTAGAACGTTACCGATTCCGGATGATTGGCAGTTGAAAATGGAGCGCCTTGCTACAGCAGCAGCGGGACTGTTCATCTGGGGTTCGACTGCAGTGAAGCTGGTGGATTGCGATAACCCTGCTCCGAAGCTAGCAAAACTAGTATCTGAATCACAGCATCTTTTCGGCCTCGAACAACTCTATGACTCAGTTCTCGCCGGTTCAGGCATCTCGTTTAACGACGAATCATCTAACACTCGCTTCGCAAAAGTCCTTGGGCTTATCCTTCTCAGCAGAACCCAGCTTTCCGATGATATCATCGACGATTTTCTTGGATTTTCGAGCGACGAGCCATCGAGGCTTATTCTGTCTCGTTTGCAATCTGTCCTCGTATTTACCCGGAATGAACCTATCCGCTTCTGCCACACGTCATTCCGCGATTACTTACTGGCATCGAGCCGCATAAACGACCCTTGGTTCATCAATCTCGAGTGTCAGAAATCATTTGTTGCTGCGCGATGCTTTGATGTTATGAGAGATAGGCTCCGGTTTAACATTTGCAAAATAGAGTCATCGTATATCTTTAACGACCAGATCCCCGACCTTCCGGACCGCATCGGGGCTAACATTCCCCTGCACTTAAAATACGCATGCCTGTTCTGGACGCAACACCTTCGCGAAGCACAATGCTCATTCGAGTTGTTGGACAAGCTATCTGAGTTCCTTAATAATCGCCTTCTGTTTTGGCTCGAGGTGCTGAGCCTCTTGGAGAAGGTCAATGTTGCTGGTACAACACTCTATTATGCCATGAATTGGATCTCGGTAAGTACGTAGATGTGCTATTTGAGCTGACACTTACGTTGTTATATATGTTTTTGTCCAGTCATACAACACCGACATCTTAGCATTTCTCAGGGATGTACGCAGAATGATCACTGTGTATTTTCCGTCCCTTTCGCGGTCAACGCCCCATATATATGTCTCCTTCCTTCTGTTTGCGTCGATGGAGTCAACCTTTTTGGCGCGATATGTGAAACGCAATATACCTATCATACGAGTGAAGCAATTAGGTATAAAAGAGCGGTCACCCATTTTGAAGGAGCTCATATACCATGTAGACTGTGTCAATTCTGTTGCTTTTTCACCTGACGGTACTCTTGTTGTATCCGGTTCCTGGGATAAAACAGTTCAAATCTGGGATGCTGAAAGTGGGCAAGCCGTTTCTGACCCTTTAGAGGGACACCATGGCATCATACGTTCTGTTGCTTTCTCACCGAACGGCACGTGTGTTGTTTCCGGATCCGACGATGAGACAATTAGGATCTGGGAGGTTGAGACTGGGCAGGTGATTTCTGGGCCCCTTGAAGGGCATAATGGCGCAGTTTATTCAGTTGCTTTCTCGCCGGATGGGACACGTGTCGTCTCTGGATCGACTGACAAGTCTGTCATGGTCTGGGACGTTGAGAGCGGACAAGCCGTCAAGCGTTTCGAGGGGCATGTAGACGATGTAAATTCTGTTGCTTTCTCTTCCAATGGAAAGCACGTCGTCTCTGGTTCTTATGACCAGAGTATACGAATCTGGGACGTTGAGAGCGGACAGACTATTTGTGGCCCTCTCAAAGGGCATACAGCCAGCGTTCGGTCGATCACTGTCTCTCGTGACGGTACACGCGTTGCCTCAGGCGCTGCAGATGCTACAATACGAATCTGGGATGCTAAGAGTGGGCAACATGTATCTGTACCTTTCGAAGGACATGCTGGTGGTGTTAGTTCTGTTGCTTTCTCGCCCGACGGGAAACGTGTCGTCTCTGGTTCTGATGACATGACCGTTCAAATATGGGACATTGAAACTGGGCAGCTCGTCTCTGGGCCTTTCAAACACGCTTCATTTGTATTGTCCGTTGCATTTTCTCCCGACGGAACCCGTGTCGTGTCAGGCTCCGTGGATAGTATCATCCGAATCTGGGACACCGAAAGTGGACAGACTGGCTCTGGACACTTTGAAGGTCATACAGATGAGGTCACTTCTGTTGCTTTCTCGCAAGATGGAAGACTCGTTGCTTCTGGATCCTGGGATAAAACAGTTCGAATCTGGAGTGCTGAAAGTGGGCGAGCTGTCTTTGATACTTTTGGACACTCAAACTGGGTTTGGTCTGTTGCCTTCTCGCCTGATGGTAGATGTGTTGCTTCTGGCTGCGATAATGGTACAATCCGAATCTGGGACACCGAAAGCGGAAATGTAGTTTCCGGGCCTTTCGAAGGGCACAAAGAGCAAGTCAACTCTGTCTGCTTCTCGCCCGACGGGACACGTATTGTGTCTGGCTCCTGCGACGCAACAGTCCGAATGTGGGATGTCAGAACTGGACAGGCGATTTCTGATTTCGAAGGACATAAAGGTCCTGTTCACTCTGTTGCTTTCTCTCCTGATGGGAGATGCGTTGCCTCTGGCTCTGATGACAGAACAGTCATAATATGGGACTTTGAAAGAGGGGAAATAGTTTCTGAACCGTTGAAAGGGCACACAGGATCTGTTTGGTCAGTGGCCTTCTCACCCCAGGGTACACGTGTTGTTTCTGGTTCTGATGACAAAACCATCTTGGTATGGAACGCTGCGAGCGGACAGGTCGCGGCTGGGCCTTTTAAGGGCCATACAAGCTCTGTTGCGTCTGTCGCCTTCTCCCCCGACGGAGCATGTGTCGTGTCGGGCTCCTGGGACATGACAATCCGAGTCTGGGACGTCGAAAGTGGACAGTCAGTTTTCGCGCCCTTCGAAGGTCATATGGCATATGTCAATTCTGTAGCCTTCTCGCGTGATGGAAGACGAATTGTCTCTAGCTCTGGGGGTCCTGTAGAAGATGCTCCGGCAATCAGAATATGGGATGTAGAAGGTGCGAAGATGGCTTCTCCCTTGCTCATTAGACAATATCTGACATGTCGTCTCTTACTTTTTCTGTCAATGCAATGTAGATCCTGCCTTCGACTGGAGTTTGGATGAAGACGGATGGATTCGCGGACGCGAGAGAGAGTTGCTTTTGTGGATTCCGGCTGATGTTCGTCCAACGCTTTGGCGCCCTAGGAATACTGCAGTTTTCAGTTGTGCATTCTCAACTAGATTGGTGTTTACAAATGCTGCTTTAGGAGAGCGATGGCAAGAATGCTTTGGTCCTATAGGGTCAACATAGTCATCCTGTCTCTCGGTTTATATGACTTGGCCAGTTCAAGTTGCGCCTCAGTATTCAACTTCTCGTATGTAAGGTATACCATTTTAATATATAATGCTCTAATTCAAAGGCATTCGTTCTCCCATGCATTATTATTTAGCTGTGCTTCATGTAACATATATGCAGCGCCCTGCTCCTCAGAGTCCTCACATCAAACAATGTTTTGAGCTCTGTTTTGTTCAGTCAGCCTGAAGTACTGAGTCAATTGAACCCCTCGACACTAGTAGAAGTAGTACTCTCCCACATCCTGCTTTCTCATCCTCACCATTGCTCCTAGTCTCCCTTGCAGAATTTCACTCTCCTGGTCCATCAAAGGGCACCCTATCTTAAGATGCATATGCTAAACTCACTATGTCTGATTGTATTCCCCTTATACCTACAGGTCGGGCAGAATGCAAGCTTAAAGTCTACCACTATAGATGACTGTCGGGTTACCTGGAAGTGGGAGGAAAGGAGCTGAGGACTCCCAGCTTTTCCAAGTGCAGATAAAAGAGGATATTGAGGAAGCTATGTACTAGTAGAGGTGATACAGCCTGAGTGTCAAGTGCTGGTTACTGAGATAGTTGCTGGAATATGCGTTTTTAAACTCTTTTCTCTCCTCTCCTAGTTCTAGGACAGCTCCATATTCCTCATTTTGTTGGTCCTTTCTCGATTGTTATAAAAATTATGAAATAAGGAGGAAGTCCAGCTCTGACTAGCGTGTTTTTCAAATGCATAAATCACGATACTTCTGGAATTCTTCCGAGACAACTTCCTCGAGGGTGAAAAGGTCATGAGGCGGATGGTACGAACAGAACAAATACCTTAAGCTGCGCCAAGAGTATAACCAATGTCTTTCCATAATCATCTATATATACTTATACATGCTTCTATCTAAGGACGATAGATGAGTTTCGTTAGATGCGATGCATTGTAAACATTGATTATTGACAGACCTTATACAAAAGCACTCATCAGACACGACAGTTGTCGAGTTTCAGAAGCAGTACATCTTCTGCTCCAGCAGCAACAAGCTTATCCATCACAGTCGCAACATTTCTCTTCTCCACCATTACGCTCACTGCAACCCAATTACTCTCTTCTAAGGGACTGATCGTCGGTGCACGCCGACCAGGTGCGATTTGCGTACACTCGGCGAGCTTGTCGCGCGGAATGTTGTATTGACAGAGTACGTATCGCCCGGAAGCAAGCACACCTGCTATGCGAGATGTGAGGAGTTCTATAAGAGGGACGAGTGCGGCGTGTTTTGGTTTTGAGGACTTGATGAGGACAGCTTCGGTGGGAAGGATAGTTGCGATGGCGTGAAGGCCGGCTGCTCGCATTGTGTCACCAGATTCTAGGTTGACGGTCAAGAAAGGGATTATTTGGAAATTTGGAAATACTTACCTACGAGGTCGACTGCAATCCGGAAATACTTGTCAACGTAGCCATATATCCAATGTAAAAGAGACTCACCAATTCCATCTGCGAGCCCAAGAGCACAAGCAGCTTCTACGCTTCCACCAACATACTCGATATGTGTTCTATTTTCGCCTTCTAAACCTAACTCATTGTCCAGTTTACCAAAATATTCGCCCGCAAGGACCTCAAAGCTTGTTACGACACGCTTCCCTGCTAGCTGCTTCACGTCCTTGATGTCTCCAGCTTCAGGCACCTGTACCTGAAGCGCACATTTCCCGAACCCAAGTTTCAGCACCTCCGTGACATGTTCTTGCATATTTGCCTCGAGGATGACATCGTGACCCGTTATCCCAAGGTCAACATTACCCTTCCCAACGAACGAAGGAATATCGGCTGCAGGAAGGAAAACGCTGCGCCTTGATCAGCCAGAGTGACTACGGCGAATCGATGATGATCGTACAGAGCGATATTGTGATTTTGAGCGAGACACACGTCCAGTCGATTATGTCGTCTAAATTGAATATCGGCACCTATCTTCCACACGTCTTCAATTTTGGTATCTCGGTGGAATGTTATTGCTGACCTGCTAATAACTCAAGACATTTCTCGTGCAAGCGTCCTGGCCTCACAAGTCAAGATAAATGCATGTCGATCAAAGTTTGTACAAATGAACGTACCTTTCTTTGGAATGGCAAACAATAATCGGCCATCAAGAGATTCCAGATTAACTGTTTACTTTACGTCGTTAAAGAATTGAGATTCATTAACATGAGAACAAGACGCACGCATGGCGGAATACGAGAAACACGGAATGAGATGACTTGACACAGAAAACTTCACGCTTAAGGTTGTCGGGTTTTGCCGTACTCCGATAAGCAGCCCTTTAATAGTATTAGTAATACGTACATGATTCCCTTCATGAGCTCAGCATTTGTTAGGGTTAGGATTAACTTTAAGGCTATAAACTACATAACTCTCAATGTAGTAGACCTCGCTGTGACTATCACGCAGCACACTGTGGGAGTTCATGTATCTTCGAAATGTTGACCCCCACGAACGTCTATCGTTACGTTCACCTTAGAGCACTTCGGCCTGCATACAACTTCCTGGCCCAACAACCTTGACTCTTATCCACCTGTCCTTGATTGTCACTATAAGTGAGCGTCGATCAACCTTCCATGCAGTGAACTGACACAAAAGGAAGCGAATATCAGGCGTCTAGACGACTAGCTGTCAAGGCTCTCCGTTGATAGTCACCTAGGAGCAATTGCGAAGCTTATTAAAACCCAGAGGGAGTTGCTGTACGACCCTCCCTGCCTCTCCATGACCTCCACGCCCACAACTTCCCACTTGGATTTAACAGGTTCATTTTCTACCCTTGCCTTACTCTTCTGCGTCATACTGATCCGTCCAGCAGTCGTCCGTGTCTCCGAAATAAAATGGAACCCGACTTATGGCAGTGAACTACCGAATCTATACGTACAGCTCCAGTTCGACAACGTTAAGAGACGAACCAAGACTGTTAAGAGAAGCTTAACTCCTGATTATGATGAACTACTTTCGCTCGAATTGTAAACAACCTTCCAGTCTGATCGAAGGTCTCTTTCTTATTTTTACATCGCAGAAAGCCTGGTGGTCAAAGGACGAAGGTTAACATTCAAGTCAAGCACGATTCGACATGGAAAGACAGATGTGTGGGCGAGATTGATGTAGAATTTTCTGACTTATTAGCGAGATGTGCTAATAGTAAAGGTGCGTGAACGGGTCGTTATCGGTATTCACTCATAAATTCATTAGATTAATAGTAACGGAGCTTCGTCTTAATATGCCCTGTGGTTCAGCATCGGTAGAAACCGCAGCAGTCCTGCATTTGCGTCTAGAAGCCGCCAGCGCTTTGATGGTTGCTAGCCGAAACATCGATGCCACCGAACAAGCAATCCAAGAGAGGGGAATCCCGCATGCCGATCTGTGCAAGTCTGTAGGAACTCTTGTTTCAAAACTAGATGTGTTGGGTCGTGTTATGGATGTCTTATCACAGGTAAGCTCGTGTTAGTGCTTGAATTACCTTGATAAGTGTTAAGAAGTGCTAGATCCATCCGTGCGCAAACTTTGCGTGGCAATTGGCTTCAGCACTGTATGAGGTATGCTCCGAAGCGTAGCATCTAATCGGCCTGACGTTGTCTACAGGGTATCAGGTGTCAATTTGAAGTTGACAAGAAGGTCGTCAAGCTCGTACATGCTATGAGAGACGCGTTTGACTTCGTTGACCAAATCGACACGTTACGCGACAAGACGAAATTGCTCGAGACTACGATTATTCAACTCCTTAGACAGATCAGCGAGTGCTGCCTCTTCATACAAGGATATGCACGCCATAAATTCGCAAGTACGCTCGTTTTCTACTTTACGCATTTCGACAACCTCACGGCATATCAGGACGTCTGGTCACCCTGAGTGCTGATGCGATGATCGAGAAGTTCCTTGAGTCATTGCAAACACTCAAATCCTGCATAGATTCTGGAATTGCAGCTCATATTGCTTTCATCTCCTCGCGGATGTCTTCCAGGGTCGATGCCTTGTGTACGTGCCGCGTCTTTGCGCTCTAAGAGTTTCTCTGAATCATGAAAACTAGATTTGAAGAGCCAACTCAATCCAGACGAGATGGATGCATACCATAGGCCTCAATGCCTTCCAGGGACGCGCACGAAAATCCAGAAAGATATCGTCGAGTGGGCATCCTCGTGCTCAGATCAGAACGTCTTCTGGTTGCATGGGATTGCAGGCTCTGGCAAGAGTACAGTCAGCACGACGATCGCGGAACACTTCCGTACTATTTCCCGCCTCGGTGCCCATCTTTTCTTCGAACGTGGAAAGAGCGATCCTAGCCTCGTTATCCGAACGCTTGCATATAAACTCGCCTTGTTCGATTCCGCGGTGGCCAAACATGTCAGTATGGCCATTGATCAGGATAAAGAGATTGCTCAGGCCATGGCCGCAACCCAGTTTGAGAGTCTTCTTTACCATCCCCTTGCCTCGGTTTCGGATGCAATGCAAGGGCCCGTTGTTATTGTTCTTGACGCGCTGGATGAATGCGGATCGGAGGGGACGAGGAGAATGCTGTTGGAGAGTCTTCGAAAGGGACTGCCTTCACTACCGAAGCAATTCCGGTTCCTCATTACGAGCAGGAAGGAACTGGACATTGTTCGAGTCTTATCCTCTCAGCCTGACTGTATTGTTCCTATTGAGCTGGAACACGACTCGGAAGCATGCAAGGGCGATGTGCTTCGTTATATTGAGAACGGAATGCGCAATGTGCTCATAAAGAATGAGCTGCGTATACCAGCGGATTGGCAATTGAGAATGGATCGTCTCGGAGATGCAGCAGGTGGACTTTTCATCTGGGCATCGACAGCGATCAAGCTGGTGGATCGTGATTATCCTTCCCGGAGACTAAATGACCTTGTATCACAATTACAATCCCTTTCTGGCCTCGACAATTTGTACCGTACTATCCTCGAGGCGTCTGGCATTTCGTTCGATGACAAAGTATCCAGGGCTCGCTTTTCTCAAGTCCTTGGGCTTATCCTTCTCTGCAAAATCCCATTATCAGACGACACAATTGACGGTATTTTAGGTTACTCAGACGACGAGTCATCACGAGTTATCCTGGCGCGGTTACAAGCCGTGCTGGTATATACTCCAGGAGCACCTATCCGCGTTTGTCATACGTCCTTCCGTGACTATTTGTTAGCTTCAGGGCGCGCATACGACGACTGGTTCATTGATCTAGAAGTTCAAAGGAAGTTCATTGCTTCACGATGCTTCGATGTCATGAGGCATATGCTGCGCTTTAATATCTGCAGCATACAGTCCTCGTATCTTCGTAACAATCAAATTCCGGACCTTCAGGTTCGTATCAAAGCCAATGTTCCTCCTCAACTAGAGTACGCATGTGTCTTCTGGACCCAACACTTACACGACACGCAATTCTCGCACGCATTGTTGTACGAGCTGTCAGACCTCCTTAATAATCGCCTTCCGTATTGGCTTGAAGTGATGAGCCTTTTGGAAAAGGTCAACATTGCCAGTCCGGCACTCCTCCATGCCATCGACTGGGTCTCAGTGAGTACGATAATGTATTATTGGAGTTGTAACTTACGCTATCCCTTGTCCCTTTACTAGTCACACGACGCGGATGTCCTGATGTCCCTTAAGGACTCACGCAGAATGATTACTAAGTATTTGGTTGCCATTTCGCAATCAACGCCTCATATCTATGTTACTGTCCTCCTGTTTGCGTCGATGGAGTCAAGGTTTATAGCGCGTCACTTGAAATCTGGACAACCTATTGTACAAGTGAAGCAAGAAGGCATAATGCAGCAATCTCCGTTCTTGAAAGAACTCAAAGCGCATAAAAACTGTGTGCGCTCCGTTGCTTTCTCACCCGACGGTGCCCTCGTCGCTTCTGGTTCCATTGACGCAACAATTCGGATTTGGGATGCTGAAAGTGGACAAGTCATTTCCGGCCCTTTCGAAGGGCTAACCGACTGTGTTGCTTTCTCGCCTGACAGTACTCGCATTGTCTCCGGATCTGGTAGTACAGTCAGGATTTGGAATATTGAGAAAGGGCAGACCATTTCGGAACCTTTCGAAGGCCATACTGGTCCTGTTCGTTCAGTTGCTTTCTCGCCAGATGGGATGTATGTTGTCTCTGGATCGACAGACAAGACCATTATTATCTGGAATGTTGACAGTGGCCAAATCGTTTCTGGACCCTTCGAAGGGCACACAGGCAGTATCCGGTCCGTTGCTTTCTCTCCTGATGGACAACAAATTGTCTCTGGCTCCGGTGACAAGACGATTCGAATCTGGGACGTTAAAAGTGGACAGACTATTTTTGGTCCTATCAAAGGTCATGGAGGCAAAGTCACGTCAGTCGCTTTTTCTCGTGACGGTACACGTGTTGTTTCAGGCTCGGAAGACGGAGAGATCCGATTTTGGGTTGCTAAGAGTGGGAGATGTACCTCTGCACTGTTCAAAAGACTCGCAGGAGGTGGGCCAGGAGGTGGGGTAACTTCTGTTGCTCTCTCTCCAGATGGGAAGCGTATTGTATCTGGCTCTTATGACAGGACAGTGCGAATCTGGGACGTTGAATCCAGGCAAGTTGTTTCAGGGCCTTTCAAGGGGCATACAGGGACTGTATGGTCCGTTGCATTCTCCCCTGACGGGGCCCGTGTCGCCTCGGGCTCCGATGACTGCACAATCCGATTATGGGACACTGAAAATTTACGTCGTGTTTCTGGGCGCTTTGAGGGGCATACAGATGACGTGAATTCTGTTGCTTTCTCGCCCAATGGAAGATACGTCGCTTCTGGCTCCGACGACGAAACAATACGAATCTGGGACACTGAAAATGAGCGCGCTGTTTCCAGACCTTTCAAAGGGCACTCGGAAAGAATCTGGTCCGTCACCTTTTCTCCAGATGGAAGATGTGTCGCATCTGGCTCTGGGGATAAGACAATTCGAATCCGGGACACTGAAACTGGGAGAATAATCTCTGGACCTTTCGAAGGGCACAAAGACACGGTCTGGTCTGTCTCCTTCTCTCCAGATGGAAGACGCATCGTTTCTGGTTCTGGCGATAGTTCTCTCCGAATTTGGGATGTCGAAAGCGGACTGACGATTTCCGGTCCTTTCAAAGGGCATGACGGCCTTGTCTGTTCAGTCGCTTTTTCGCCTAATGGGCGACACGTTGTCTCTGGATCTTCCGATAAAACAATCATAATCTGGGACGTTGAAAGCTTGGAAGTAATTTCTGGACCCTTGAAGGGACACATGCGTGCAGTTCGGTCAGTGGCATTCTCTCCCGACGGTACACGTGTTGTTTCCGGTTCTGACGACACAACCATCTTGATCTGGGACGTCGAGAGTGGAAAAATCGTTGCCGGGCCTTTCAAAGGCCATACGAACTGGATTCGGTCTGTTGCCTTCTCTCCTGATGGAACACGTGTCGTCTCGGGTTCCGGCGATAAGACGATCCGTATATGGGACGTTGACAGTGGACATGTGCCTCTTGCGCCTCTTGAAGGCCATACTAATTCCGTTTTGTCGGTTGCATTCTCGCCTGATGGAATGCGTGTTGTCTCTGGCTCCATGGATCATACAATAAGAGTGTGGAACATAGAAGGTAAGAGGACAATGTTCTCCCTTGCTCAGAGGTCCATGTCTGGCAACTTATCTATCATCTTTGCTTTCAATATAGATCCTGTCTTTGATTGGACGTTGTCTGAAGATGGCTGGATATGTGGACACGGAGGGGAACTGCTCTTGTGGATTCCGCTTGAGCGACGTCCTACACTATGGCAAGCTCGGAATACTGCAGTTTTCAATTGCCAATTCTCGTCTAGGTTAGACTTTGCAAATGCTGCTCTCGGCGAACGGTGGCAGGAATGTTTTGAACCAATTCAGTGATACCGTCTCCCCGTCTCCCTCTCAATCTTTACATAATGTACTCGAATTAACATTGATCCAAGCTCGTGCTTTCTCTACATACACCAGTTTAGTTCACAGACATTGTGTAGAGTCTCATTGAGCGGTAATTTAAAGAGGATACGTACATGCAGTAGGCTCTGTTCTGCTCGATCGATCTACAGTACTGAGTTGTGAACTAAAAACCTAACAGCAGCGCCACTTTTATTGCTTCCCCTCCATTAGTCCTAACAAGCTCATACATATTCTCTTCTCATTGTTGCCAGTACTTCCAGCCTCCATGTATAGTTTTTTCCTGCGTCCACCCAGTTTGCCATAGAACTTTAATCCAAATGATAATTTGCTTGAGGTGACGCAGAATGACAGCGAGCCGCCGGAAGAAGAAACCAAGTGTATGCACATATCATGCAGTGAAGGATGGCCCAGACTATCAAGCGACGTTGCACAGAGGCTAACTTCTTTTTACTTTATGCATCAAGAAGATTTTTTCAAGCAATTTTGTTTCTTAAAAAGCTTTCGGATCTCTGTATCGTTAACAGTAGACAAAATGAAATGAGTTCTGCACCGCTCCATCTTTCAATGTCAGTCTCGAACAACTAATATGAACAACTGTCATACAATAAAGCAACCCGTTCTGGCTGTTAAACTTTGTTCTGAATCTTTACAAAGTTTACTTTCAATGGTAGAGCCGTCTTGTTTGAGGCGTTAATATTCTTCGCAATAGGCCTTGCAATCCCAACCATTGTCCAATCTATCTCTGGGCCAAGGCCAAACTCGAATGTCTCGAGCAAGACGGATAAAACCAGTTCTGAAGAAACGGCGTTCGTGTGGGTGATAAGCAGCATAACTATGTACAAGGGGCAAACTCACTCATCTCCATCTCGGCAAACTTGAATCCGCTATGATAATATATTCCATCAGGTGATGCGTTCTGAATAAGCGATATTAACGTACATGCATGCGCGTCCTCCACCAATGAAAGTCATCCTTGGTCACATATCAAAAATTGCTCGAGATAACGAAAGACGTAGAACTTACATCGATGCATATACTCCAGGAAGATGTGCATGTGCAACACTTTCCGGGAGTGGTTTTAGCCATCGCTCAGGTTTCCACTCTTCCGCATCGTCACCCCATATCTTCTTGCATCTGTTCGTGCCGAGGATTGACACAATTACGTTCGTGTTCTTCTGAACTGGTATTTCGGTAATTTGTGTCTTCCCATCTGCAGCCATAATTGGCCATGCAAGAGGCATAACCACATCCTTCCTCGTCCTGTGGCGCTGATCAGTAACGTTTCTGCCAAGCTCTTACAAAGGAATAACGCACGTTCGAGACACCATTGAAAGTGGTGGGAAGACGCGAAGTGTTTCGCGACAGACTGCGTCAAGGTATGGAAGAGCCATGAGCGTGTCATAGTCAAAGTCGGTGAATCCGCGCTCCTTACGAGCGGTGACAATCTCCTCGCGTAGTCGGCTTTGCACGTCTGGATTCAAGACCAACTGATGCAAAATCCGAGAGACGGCACTTGTTGTCGTTTCCTGACCCGCTAAAATAAATGTGCTGCATTGGCGGTGATCAGCATAGATTAGCCTGATTAACTTTGTTATGGGCGCACTTCATTTGTCCAATGAGCTCTTCTTCCGGAAGTCGGTCTTTTTCGTCCGCCGCCATATTCGCACGCACTGATGGAATGTGTTCTATCAGCTTCCATGCGACGTGCTTAAACGTTGTACTCACGGAGTACGCTCATGATATCCTTACCCATGCCAACGTGCCTCAGCATTTCTTCGTCACCCTTCTCAAGTGCAGCTTTCTTCTCGTAGTAAATTTCCTTCGACCCCTCAGTAAGGGTGTCAACAACCTCCACAGCGGTTTTGGCCGGCTCATATGGCAAGTTCTCTACCATCCTTCGGCGAAATGATGGAGAACCAAACTTGACAGCCCATGGAAGGAATTGACGAAGGAAAACGGTCTTGAAGCCAACAGGGCTATCTCGGGTAAGCAATTCAGACCAATTCTTCAATGGAATCTATTGAAATATCTCACCCGAGTTTCTTGACGGCTTCGTTGTACTTTGACCCTTTCTCATTATGCAACGCATTGAAAGAATGTCCTAAGCCGGCTCGTCCGATATACTCGAGTGCTGCCTTAGAGATCCATTGCATAACGTCTAATTCCTTCGTTCCGCTTCCAACGAGCCGTGTCAAGACATCACGAAGCTGGGATAGATCAATAAGGAATACGTCATGTTCTGAGACGGGTTATGTTCACCTCATATGCAATAGGGTAGAATATCGGAAGAAGGTCTCGCATATGTTTCAGTGAAAATACAGGATTCAACATTTTGCGCTGCCTCCTGTGGTGTTCACCTGCATGCACCATTACGCAAACCACACACACGTAGTGATAGCGAGCACGAACCAAGAGTTGAAAGAAGGCTCACACCGAATATGAGTGAGTTTGTTCTTTGAAACGAAACATAAGTTGGACAGGAATGCAATGATGCGATACTAGACGTACGTGATAAACATGCTCGTCTCTTCATAGATGTACTGATCTTTGACGACAATGTGATGCAAGGCGAGAGGGTCGGTAATGAATAATTGTTCATCCTGCCATCAATGAGGATCTCATCAACGACCGTTCTAAAATTGTACAAAGGGAAAGAACTCACACCGAAGAGCATAGGAAGCTTGACAACGCTTCCATACTTCTCCACGATGCCTCGATGGAATTTCCAGCCCTGTTTGTCAAAAACTTGGAAAAAACAACCTGTGTTGTGCCAAGACGCCGTTAAAGCGAATAGTCTTGGTTCCTGAAACATAATCCCATACCTTTCCACCAAGATTCTCTTGGAGGTCCAGGGATGTTTGCAAGAGTGGATTTTCTCATGAAGAAGCGCCATGCGATATACAGACATACGCATGCTAGGAAGGCTTGAGGAGCAGAGATAGACATTGTCGCAGATACTCAGTGAGAGTGGACTTTGTGGGTTGATAGCTGTCCTTGGACAGCGGTTCTGTTTTATATTGACGGGGAAGCAGTCCATTGTATTAATGAAGCTATAGCGGGGGAGCAAAAGACCGTGACTCGGCCCCTGAGAAGCAGATTGGCTGTGCTGTCATCTCTTTTACACAGGCACCATACCTCGTGTAGCAGGATGCTTCCGTGCATAACTGCTCATTTTCTGTTGTACCTGGATACTCTGGCAATGTTCTCTTGTATGGCTGCTAAATGATCTATCAGTATATACAGTATCCCGATTTGCATCTTAGGGACACACTGAGTGCAGTTTAAGGAGATTGACAGGTCACCGGAAAGTCACCTAAATTCCCAAACAGGTGGGGATCGTAGATTCACGATTGCGAATTTGGTTCCGCGGCGTACATTAGTCATGAGTGATTACTACATGCAATTGGAACAAATCTGCAAAGTTACACGACATGTGCATTTGATTCGTCTTATTTGCTTCCATTGGATGAATGGAAGTCATGCAACTCACAATGTGGACAGTGTCTTCTTCTATCCTCTGCTGCATGGTGCCCAACTGCTGATACGATGGATTACGACTTCCTTTATAAAGGCTGCATCAAGCAGATAATTTCAGTCGTGCAAACGGTCCAGACCGGCTGAAGAGTTGTAGGAAATAAGGAACGCTGTCAAATTCGTATCATAAACAGCTTAGAATGAAGCAAAAAAGAAAATGTGCATAACGAGACATGAGACTGGATTGCTTAGCTTTCAGACTGGTTAGTGTCCATCACCCTCACAAGACTTCTAAAACTACAATCCAAATCACAACTAAAATAAATAAATCCAATACCACTCCGAAAATATATTCAGCGACGTCTGTACATTCAGCAGGCATGCTGAATTTGTTTACGCCTTGTTCTTAAGGAGCGAGACCTTTAGAGGCAATTGTGAAGACTTATCCGGAGAGCCTTTAAGGATAGGCTTCACTATGCCAGACATGATCCACTCCAACTCTGGGCCTGCAGCGAATTCGAACGTCTCGAGTAAGAGTAACAATACAAGTTCTGTTGGAAATTAATGCGTCATTCAAATTTAGACCTGATCAGTATGGACAATTAATTCGGCTTACTCATTTCCATCTCTGCAAACTTGAACCCACTACCATGAAAATAATCAGTATGAAGCACAACCAAACTAAAGTCTATATCGAACGTACATGCAAGCACGACCGCCTCCGATGAACGTCATCCTTGAATTTTTCATGAGATTATTTAACAGTGCTGAAATATCGCCAGTAAACTCACATTGAGGCGTAAATGCCAGGTAGATGGGCTTGTGAGACGCTTTCAGGAAGTGGCTTTAGCCACCTTTCAGGTTTCCACACCTCTGCATCCTCGCCCCAGATCTTCTTGCTTGTATTAGCTCCAAGGATGGATATATTGACGTTCGTGTTCTTCTTAATCGGTATTTCCGTAATTTGAGATTTTCCATCCGCACCGGTGATGGGCCAGGCAAGAGGCATAACGATGTCCTTCCGTGTCCTGGGGACGGAAATTCAGATTCACTTTTTCACATTAAATTGTATATTTGAGAATTCAACGTACGTGCGGGCGAGGATGGGAATAGGTGGGAACACACGAAGAGTCTCGCGGCAGACGGCATCGAGATACGGCAGACTCATAAGTGTATCGTAATCGAAGTCTGGATAACCGCACGCTTTACGCGCTGCAACAATTTCAGCTCGAATGCGTGCTTGTACATCCGGATGCAAGACGAGCTGGTGGAGAATTCGGGCGACGGCATGCGTCGTAGTGTCCTGGCCAGCAAGAATGAACGTGCTGCGAAGACAATAAGCGGATACAGTTGCTCAATCTGAACTAAGGCGTACTTAATTTGACCTATCAACTCCTCGTCTGGAAGTCGGTCATTCTCATTCGCCGCCATGTTTGCTTTCACTGAGGTTGCGGTTCGTAAGAATTTCGCGTAAAGGAATGCAATCCACCCACGGAGAACGCTCATGATATCCTTGCCCCTACCCACTTGTTTCTGGACCTCCTCGCCATCCTTCCCAAGCGCTGACTTTCGATGCTCAAATATTGTCGTTGAATGACTCGTAAGAGAATCAACGAGCTCGCATGCCTCCTTGGCAAGTGTGGAAGGGAGATATTCGAGGACCTTACGTCGGAATGCGGGGGATCCAATATTAGCCAGCCAAGGAAGGAATTCCCGGTAAAAGTTTGTTCTAGACAACATCGGGCTAAATATTGCGAACAATTAGTTGTGGTAAAGCAATCACGAAATTAGCTGAAAATTATGTATACCCTATTTTCTTGACTTGCTCCCCGTAAGCAGACGACTCCTCATCCTGAAGTGCATTGAATGAGTAGCCAAAGCCGCCTCTGCCGATATACTCGAGGGCTGCCCTTGACACCCAGTGCATGACATCGAACTCTTTGGTTCCATCCTTGACTTGCCCAGCCAAAACATCTCGGAGCTTCGGACATTAGTACATTGCTGACATGTTTTTAACGATACCTTACCTCGTATGCAATGGGATAAAATACAGGAAGGAGGTCGCGCATATGCTTTAACGAGAACACTGGATTGAGCATTTTGCGCTGCTTGCGATGGTGTTCACCTATATGTTGCAAAGGAAATCTTAATTTATTTCCAGGGCACTGAAGAAACTACTGGCGACAAACCAAGCGTGGAAAGAAGGCCTGTCCCGAAAACAAGCGCGTTTGAACTATGCGAAGGTAGATTAGCAAATGTCTGTACAACCCCCTTCTGCTAACGTACGAGATAAACGAGCTCGTCTCTTCGTAAACATACTGATCCTTGACGGTGATGTGATGTAAGGCCAAAGGATCGGAAACGAGAAGCTGTTCGTCCTGGAATGCGCTAGAGATTAACCAGCGGACAAGCACAGATTGGATTCACGCGTCGGACGTACTCCGAAGAGCATGGGAAGCTTGACGACGCTTCCGTACTTCTCAATAATTTCTAGATGGAACTTCCAACCATATTCGTTAAACACGCGGAAGAAGCAGCCTATATCATGAGAATAAGTCTTGTTTGATGACTGCATGGATGCGGCTAGGAAATTACTGACCTTTCCACCAAGATTGGCTCGGAGGGCCAGGAATATTCGAGAGTGTAGACTTGACAATAAAGACACGCCATACAAGATACACAACAAGTGAAGCTAGAGCTACATGTGCAATAGGTAGAGACATATCTATTGTGCCTTTGAGAATGCAGGCCGTTACTGACGCTCAGTCCCCAACTGAATCCTCTCTTATATCGTCGAGGACGGAAGAACGTTGTGAGGGGACCGCGAGAAAAGAACGGAGCTTTCGGCATCCGAGAAGCTCGTTTTATCATCGACCTTACGAGGACTCCTATGTCCTGCTTCTCGTGTAGCCATGCATGGAGTACCCCTATAAGCAAGGGACTGAGAATATCTTATAGGCTTACACAGAGTTGTGTCCAAACAGAGGCTTTCCCCCAGCCTATTGTAGCCTTGGCAAGTTCTATGATGAAATTAGGAGCCATCTGACCTCCCAGGTTAATAAGATTGATGTAGCACTAGGTAGGTAGACAGGTGGGTGGGTAGACATGTTCCTAGTATAAGTTCCTAACGAGAAACACTTGATTAGCATCTGTTCTCAGTCGCGCGTCGAAATTTACTCATTTGCTTTATGTAAGGTAGGACTGGGATAATCAGCATTAAGATAATCAGCATTGATATTGATTTGCACGTGCCCTACAAAGGAACTTCCATGTAAGGTTTTTTGTAAGTCAGAAGAATTAAGGTCGATTTACGTGTGTCCTGCAAAGGAACTTACATCCAAAAGAAGTTTGCAAAAGGCACCTTAACTAACTCTGCCATGTTTGAGCGGAAACAGTTGAGGAGTCATTTGCTAACCTCGTAGATGTGTAGACGAGATCGTTATCTTCAAGGCGCCACGAACGAAACCTTCAGCAGGAACCGCAAGTAGTAATAACCAGCTTGGCCCTTGACTGTCAGTGAGTCTTGCACACTCAACATCTTGAGAAACATTAATATTGATAGAATTATCTCTTCACATTACACGTTAGAGTAGTGACAAGCAGCAAGGCAACCTCCAGGAAGTACGTACTTATCTCTATTGCAGCAAATTTGAAAGTGTTATGTTTAAACAAGAAGTACCAGTATCAGTCTTAGAGATCAAGAGGAAACTACCAAGATTGAAGAGAGTGGATTAGCAAGCAGATTAACTTGGTGGAAACTAGTTATACACAATATGTAAACATTTAGTACAGTACTTACAGCTGTTTGCAAGACTTTTGCAAACAGCTGTAAAATATAGTGTTTTTAAATATTTTAATACTTGATGTGTTAAAAAATCTTATAATTTTCACATCTACAGATAACAAATCAATTTTCAATAGCTGAATTAAGTAGGCAATTTTAGTCAAGCACCAGCAAGCAGTCTAGCCTAGCTAAAGAATTGTAGAAGGTACAAAATAGAATTAAATTTGCACTATAAACAATACAGAATAGAACAACAAGAATTTTGTACATAAAAAGAAATGCAACTAAACTGCTTATATTTGGAACTAGTTAATATCCAACATTCTCATAACCAGAGCCCTTCCAGGCGGGAATGCAAACTGTAACCAGAATATAATCACCTTAGTACTACTCCAGAAAGGAATTCGGTGACATCTATTCATTCAAAAGATACACCGAATTTAATTACATTTGTTCTTAAGAAGCGAGACCTTCAGAGGCAATTGTGGAGACTTATCCGGAGAATCTTTAAGGAGAGGCCTTGCTATTCCACCGATGACCCACTCCAACTCTGGGCCTGCGGCAAATTCAAACGTCTCGAGCAAGAGTGACAATACGAGCTCTGTTGGAAATTAAATTCGTCATTCAAGCCTACACCTGACAGGTATGGACAATCCGATTTGGCTTACTCATTTCCATCTCTGCGAACTTGAACCCACTGCCGTAAAATATCAGTATAGCACGCGATGAGACGGAAATCTAGAACCTACATGCAAGCCCGACCGCCTCCGATAAACGTCATCCTAGGATTTTTTCATGAAATACTTCAACAGAACTGAAACATGACAAGTAAACTCACATTGAAGCGTAAATGCCAGGTAGATGGGCCTTTGAGACACTTTCAGGAAGCGGCTTTAGCCATCTTTCAGGTTTCCACTCCTCTGCATCCTCTCCCCAGATCTTCTTAGAGGTATTAGCTCCAAGGATGGATATGTTAACGTTCGTGTTCTTCTTAATTGGTATCTCCGTTATTTGAGTTTTCCCATCCACACCGATAATGGGCCATGCAAGAGGCATAACAATGTCCTTCCGTGTCCTGAGGACAGGATTAAGACTCACGCCTTCGCATTTAATCGATTATTAAAGATAAACGTACGTGCGGGCGAGCATGACAAGAGGCGGGAACACGCGAAGAGTCTCGCGGCAGACAGCATCGAGATACGGCAGACTCATAAGCGTATCGTAATCGAAGTCGCAGTAACCGCGCTCTCTACGCGCTGCAACAATCTCGTCTCGGAGGCGTGTCTGTACATCTGTGTGTAAGACAAGTTGATGGAGAATTCGAGCGATTGCATGCGTCGTAGTGTCCTGACCAGCAAGGATGAATGTGCTACGAAAACGATGAGCAAATATGTTTATTCAATCCGAACTGAGACGTACTTGATTTGGCCTACCAGCTCCTCTTCTGGAAGTCGATCGTTCTCATTTGCTGCCATGTTTGCTTTCACTGAGGTTGTGGTACGTGAGAAATTTGCTGATAAAACATAGAATCCACTTACGCAGCACGCTCATGATGTCTTTGCCCGCGCCCACTTGTCTCTGGATCTCGTCGTCATCCTTTTCGAGGGCTACCTTTTGATGCTGGAATATTGTCGTTGAATGGCTCGTAAGAGAGTCGACAAGCTCGCATGCCTCCTTGGCAAGTTTGGAAGGGAGACATTCGAAAACCTTACGTCGAAATATTGGGGAACCAATCTTAGCCACCCAAGGAAGGAATTGCCGATAGAAGTTGGTTCTAAACAACATCGGGCTAAACACGGTGAACAATGAGCTGGTGAAGCAGTTGTGATATATATTTCAAACGAATACCCTATTTTCTTGACTTGCTCTCCGTAAGCGGACGACTCCTCGTCCCGAAGTGCATTGAATGAGTACCCAAAGCCGCCTCTGCCGATATACTCGAGAGCTGCCCTAGATACCCAGTGCATGACATCGAACTGCTTAGTTCCATCCTTGACTTGCCCAGCCAACACATCTCGCAGCTTCCGAAGTTAGTACGTTACTCACATATTCTTAATGATATCCCTACCTCGTGTGCGATAGGATAGAATACAGGAAGGAGATCGCGCATATGCTTTAACGAGAACACTGGATTAAGCATCTTGCGTTGCTTGCGATGATGTTCGCCTACATGTAATAAAAAAATTAAATTCTTTCCGGCGTACTGTGTAAACCATTGACAAACCGAGCGTGGAAAGAAGACTTGTTCCGAAAACAAGAGAGTTTGACCTATGGGAAGAAGATAGTTTAGCAAATGTCTGCGTGATCCCATTATGCTTGCGTACGCGATAAACGTGCTCGTCTCTTCGTAAACGTACTGATCCTTGACAGTGATGTGATGTAAAGCTAGAGGATCGGAAATGTACAGTTGTTCGTCCTAGAACGTGCGCGACTATTAAGCGACGAGTAGGCATAACTAGATTCACACATCGGACTCACACCGAAGAGCATGGGAAGCTTGACGACGCTTCCGTACTTCTCGAGTATTTCCCGATGGAACTTCCAACCATATTCGTCGAACACTTGGAAAAAGCAACCTATACCATGCGAATAAGTTTCGTTCGATGGCTGAACGGTACGACTAGGAGATGACTGACCTTTCCACCATGACTGGCCCAGAGGACCAGGAATATTTGAGAGTGTAGACTTGGCTGTGAAGGCGCGCCAAACGAGATACACAGCAAGTAAAGCTAGAGCTGCTTGTGCAATAATAGATAGAGACATATCTGTGATCGTTTGAGGACTCTGAAGGCTCTGTCAACTGCGGGTTGTTATCGACACTCATTCAGCTTACTAGCCCCTCTCTTATATGGACCAACGGAAGAACATTGTAAGGGAGCCGCGAGAAAAGAACGGGGCTTTCGGCATTTGAGAAGCGCGTTTTATCATCGACCTTTACGAGGAGGCTTATACCCCGCTTCCCGCATAGCCATGCATGGAGAGTCCCTATAAGCGAGGGACTGGGAATCTCTCGTAAACTTGCAGAAGTTTGAATCCGAATTGAGATTTTTTCCGAGGCATTGTGGCTTCGGCAACTTCCAAAGTTCATGATGAAATTCGGAATTGTCTAATTTCCAAGTTTAGTAAGATCGACAAAGCGGTGATTGGGCGACAGCCCGGCAAACCTTGACCTTGGTCTTCCACGCTCCCGTCGAAATTTACTCATATGGCCTTATGCGACATGACCAAGGTGTGATTGATTGCTTGGCTTTTTATTAGTCAGAATAAGATCAATTTACGTGCGTCCTACAAAGGAACTTCCATGCAAAAGAAGTTCTCAGAAAGCAGTTTAACTAACTCCGCCGTGCTGAACAGAAACGGTCGAAAAGGCGTTGCTATCTTGGAGTTGTGTAGAGAGATAGATAACCTTAAGACATTACGAGCGAGACCTTTAGCGGAAGTTGTGGATAATGGCCGGTTTGGCCCTTCACCGTCGGTGACGCTTGCGCACTCATCGCCCAGTAAATCTCGGGGCCAGGCTCGAAGGCCAACTTCTCGAGAAGCATTGATAGGATCATCTCTGCACATTACACGTTAGTGGTGGTGACAAGTAACAAGCCGAACTTCCGAGAGTACGTACTTATCTCCATCTCAGCGAATTTGAACCCGCTTCGTTTAAACGAGGAGCGTCAGCATGTCATACGTAGATACCTACAGCAATCGATAATGGGACTCACATGCATGCACGCCCTCCGCCGATGAAAGTCATTCTATCAGTTCTATCATCAGAAGCAGTCACCAGACGAGAAAGTAGAAAACTTTCGAGCTCACATGGACGCATACACTCCAGGCATATGAGCTTTGGAGACGCTTTCGGGCATCGGCTTTAGCCAACGCTCAGGCTTCCACTCTTCTGCATCTTCTCCCCATATCTTTTTACTGCGGTTGGCTGCGATGATCGCAACTATAACATCCGTGTTCCGCTTGACGGGAACTTCGCTGATCTCAGCTCCATCCACCGCTTTGATTGGGTACATAAGAGGCATAACGATATCTTTTCTTGCACTACATATTTCAGTCAACATCTTCACAGTGGACACCAGGTATATTTGATATTCTTACGTCCGGACGACTTGGGACACCGGCGGGTAAACACGCAACGTCTCGCGAACGACGGCGTCGAGGTATGGCAGGTCCATGAGTTCATCGTAGTCAAGATCACCGCCATGATCCCGTGCCGTCGATACTTCTTCGCGAAGCCTATCCTGCACATGTGGATTTTGAGCGAGTAGGTGAAGAATACGAGAGATCGCCCCTGTCGTCGTTTCTTGAGCCGCCAGGATAAAGGTACTTGGGTAGCATGGTCCTCAAAACCGACTCATAATCAGAGTACACAGAATTTGCTTACTTCATTTGCCCAAGTAGCTCTGTTTCCGGGAGGCGATCCTCTTTTTCGGCTTTCATGTTTGCTTGGACTGGTCGACTACATCAACATAAAGTCACAGAAAGCTAAACAGCATCACGCACGAAGAATACTCATGATATCCTTCCCTCTTCCAACCTGGTTGTTGACTGCCTCATCTCCCTGTAGCAAAGCATCTTTCTTCTTCTGGTAGATATCTCTCGAGTTTCGATCTATGACGTCCACGATTCTGACCAATGTTTGGATCATAGGCTCAGGTAGCAGCTCAACGACTTTCCTACGGAACGAAGCAGTACCAATATTATCGACCCAGTGAATGAATTGTCGATAAAGCATCAAGTTAAAGTTGGTGAGGCTGAAACAAGTAAACGCCCGTCTATCAAACTGAACGTAATCTCCGTATACGTACCTGATAAGCCTGATTGCCTCATTATATTCATTTGTCTTGGTTTCGTCAAGCGCTTCAAAAGTATAGCCAAGGCCTCCTTGACCGATATATTCCAAAGCAGCCAAAGACAGCCATTTCATGACGTTGATCTCTTCCTCCCCCTTCTTTACCTTTCGCACAAGTACATCACGGAGCTAGAAAGATGCCGTGAAGGATTCATGATTCCATCAAATGAGCGTGGCTTACCTGATGAGCAACAGGATATAGAATAGGGACAAGATCGCGCATATGTTTTGACGAAAATACTGGGTTCATCATTTTGCGTTGAATGCGGTGACGTTCACCTTTGCGTATCTCCTCGTCAGCAGTACATTACGACAGAATTGCCAAAAAAAGAATATACCGAGCAATGAAACTAGACCTTCGCCAAAGATCATTTTGTTCATTCTGTAATTCTGGTATTGATACAAAACGTCTACGCACGAAGACAAATTTACCTGATAAACGCATGCGTCGGCTCATAAATATATTGGTCCTTCACAACAATGTGATGCAACGCTAGTGGATCCGAAACATACAGCATCTCTTGCTACGGACATAAAGCAACTGGTGTGAGTTGAGTTGCATAAACGAAGAGTTAGACTTACACCGAAGAGATTATGCAGCTTTACAACACCTCCATACTTCTCCACGATATCATGATGGAATTGCCATCCGTTTCTATCGAACACCTGATGAAAATTACCTTCGTCATATCGTAATTAATAGACGGCCTGAGAATCAATGTGGAGATAGTGCACCTTTCCACCACGAATCACTTGGCGGCCCAGCTATTTTCTCAAGAGGACTCCTAACAACGTATGGCCGAATAGCACGCCAGAGTATGTATGATACAAGAGTAAGAGCAGCAGCTTGGAAGACAGATATCGCCATCGAGTGCGGCTACGTATGCAGGAAGCGAAGTTGGGATAAAGTAAGGCTCATCTATTCCTTGTTTATATCGCTGGGAAAACAAGGAAGAATATTGCTTGGGAATAGAACTCATGTGAGCCATTACCTGAGGACTGAGGACAAAGTTCCTGTACACGCGGACGAATCGAAGCAGAATACGTCCGACTAGAAGCCTCGTAAAGTGTATTACGGCGAGGTGATGGTTTTTGAACCGCTCCAAGGGCACGAAAAAGCAAAATGACAGTCATTTTGACGCGAAATTCCCGAAAAAAACGGCAGATGCGGTGCGGGATATACAGTCCAGTGCGTTCATTGAACCAGTCCACTGCGCTGTCACCACTTCAACACTATCAGTACTGTAATGGTTGATTTGGATTCAATTCAACTCACGGAAATTATGCATATGCCGATAAGTGAATCCACTCAAACAGGAGCCGAGTCACACTCAGAAAGGGTTAAAAAAGCGAGGCCCGGCAAGACGGTCAGATGCTATTTTCGAAGTTCAAGATGAGTTCGCGGATCACATACACAGACTTACGTCTAGTACGTGGCAGGTGCGGTAAGCTCACGGGAAAAAAAATGTAACGGAGACGGCCGGCAATAGTAGACTGGTTTGAACTTTGAAGTGCCTGTTCCCGCTAGCCAAAGCTTATCTGTAAAGCGAACCTACCAATGAGTACGAATTTTAAACTACAATTAAGGATAAGGAATGCGGTAGGTTCGGCGGTCTTACTCTCTATAATGCTGAGACGGCATGATAGTCTCCGCGGAACACCTCTTGCTGTCCCGAGGAGAGAATCAGAATGGACGCCGTGGAAAAGATGGCCCAGATCCGAGGGAACAACGGGAGTTTACATAGTGAAATAACGTCTCAAAAGCAGACGTGACTCCCATCCAGATTAAAAGAGTATAACTAAAGAGACCAGGTACGCGGTTGACCAGAATAAGTACTAAAGTAGAGGTGATGGACACTGTTGAGACTGAATGAGAGCGTCATTTTCCGTTGTTACGTAATTGAATACCGATACCGAAATTCAAACCATGAAGGCGAAATTCAATTGCCTAAATGTACAAAAAAAGTAGGTATAGTAGGTATCTTTCTTCGATTATAAACTTAGAAGGATGAATTGGGAGTGTTACACATGCACTAGGCTGTTGCACAAGTACGAGCTGAGAAACCACTGAGCGAAGTATTCGGGGTACATATGATGTTTGATAATTTTAAAAAATCTACTTGTCTTCAAAAAGATATCACCACTGGCGAAGAGGGTAGACGACTAATCATATGGACCATGAGACTGAACGACATTCTTGCTATCGTGGCGCAAAGCATTCTTCCCATCGTTCTCCTAGAGCAGCATTTGTGAAGTCCAGGACGGTCGAAAATGAGCAATTGAGCACTGCGGTATTTTGAGGGCGCCACAACGTCCTTCGATAATCCACAAGAGTAACACGCCTTCGCGTCCATGTACCCATCCGTCTTCAGACATTGTCCAATTGAAGACGGGGTCTGTTGCAGGAAAAGGACGAAAAAGAAAAGTCAGGTATTTACTGATGGCCATATGAATGAGCTTTCTCCTTACCTTTTACGTTCCAAAATCTAATCGTATTATCTTGGCAACCGGAAATGACGCTACTCCCATCTAGCGAAAGTGCAACTGATAGTAAGGTAAGGAAAGTATAAACTCGACATAGTGTGACGCGACAGACTAACCCAATTTGGATGCAAACGATGATGGCGAAATACGACACTCAGTATCCCAAAAATGCAAATTTGAGCCGCATAGATATATTCAGCTTAATCTAACCTACAAAAGTATGTTTTTGATTTTTTAAAATATTGAGATTCAAGTGAGTTATTTCCAAAAAAAAAAACTTTTTTTTTGGTACCTAAATGTACAGAAATGCAATTTGGTGAAATTTTGAATTTTTTCCCGAAGATTTTTGCCACTTCGGTTAAATATCTATTATATAATTATTTCCTTATATAGAACACGTGCCTGATGAGTAATGTACATTTGATCAGTAAATATCAGCTATTTAGACCCTATTTTCCTCTGTTCTGCCTATAATGCCCTAGTAAAGGAGGATAA